GCAACATAACAAAATTGAAAAAAGTGAAGGGGTCTGAATACTTTCCAAATGCACTGTATATTTTTGAAAGCATTCTTACTTACAGCATTTTTTCACACCTGCCTAAAGCTTTTGCACAGTACTGTAATATTGGGTTCTGTTCTACTATATCACTAATGATTTTAGGTTCTGTCTGATTTTAAGCTGCAGCTGTTTTATTGTTCCGACACTGAACGTGACTGTCTACTTTTGGTGATATTCCAGTTCCATCACCCAGTAAATTCCGGTCTCCAGCAGCACCATCACCTCTGGCTCTGAGACAGCCAGTGAAAGCATTTAATACCCATGGACCTAGCTCTGTTCCAGAAGCGACACAGCTTCCGCACAGCAGCTCTTCACCAGGGCCTTTAGCAGCTCCCAGTTCTGCCTCTCCGAGCCCAGCCAGCAGCATCAACAGTGCTACCCTTACCAGACCTGCAGGAACCACAGGGTTGAGGAGTGGCTTGCCAAGACCTAGTGCCCCCTGCACAGGGGGCATACCAGTGCCTCGCAGCAAACTCACACAGCCCATTCGCAGGTGAGTCTGCCACTTTCACTTTGTACATGGCAAAAACCGTCATTCAGAAGAAACATTTGTGTCTTGGGTAGCAAATCTTATATAGCCAAAGTGGTTTGTATACATATCATATTTATGCTGAAAAGAAGACATTTTTTATCAAAAATAATTTATTTTCAATGGGGAGGTGATCATTTCAACTTTTTCTGAGAATATGGTAATAGAAATTATATTTGTTTTGTGTAATCTGGTGGGGGAGGTGAGTTAAATCTGCTTTTCTGACTTTGGGATAAATGGAGTTTAAGCTAGGGGTATGGGTAGATTTGAAGGACCTGTGTGTTTTATGGACACTGCAGTCTTTATATCAAAAAAGCCAGAAAGTAATTTTTGGTGCTCTGTTAGGTAGAGTCAGTTTGTGATTTCATGGCTGAAATATCCAGCCTAACTTCAGGTTTATTACCTCTGTTTCATACCCGCTTTTTACGATGCAGACTTCTGGAGAAATCAAAAGTTTACACACTATTTTATGCTGCTTTTAAATGAAATAACTAATTTTAAAGCATTGCTATGTGTACATTTTGACTTACATCTATACTTTTTTTCTTTTTCTGTTATATCACTGCCTTTCTAATTTGGGGGTTGCTTGTAGAATTGATACATAGATTCTTCACTGCAAAGACATTTTCTGTATATCTTATAAGCCAGTAGATGGCTCATAACTATGTGCACTTAGAGGGCATACTACTTGCTTACCAGCTTCTTTTACCTTCTAGTCTCCCCCATTCATTCCCTGCATGAAAAGCTATGAACATGTGTTTGAACCCTTGGCTGAGTCACCCTGGCACAGGATGACTTTAAGCAAAAAGTGAGCTAAATTGTAATCAGTAAATAATATTGATATTCCTCAAGGATTTATTTAACCAAGAAACGTATTATCAGCAATGAAACATTTGATAACAAAATTTATGAAGTCATCTAGGACAATTTAGTGAGTAAAGAAATTGTCCTTGTGCTTTGGATGTCATTGGCTAGAAGATTGACGTTTGTGTATACCTCATTCGTCTCGAGTCATGTTGTCATATACAAGAATTTTTTTTTCCCGTAAAGAATGCCTGTTTGCAAATAGATTACCCATTTCTGGACTTGTCTACATAATTTACTTACTGCAGCACAAAGAAATCCCTCTGATTTGCTTGCTTAGGACATGTCCTCATAATGGAGCCTCTACAAGAGGCAAGCTGAAGATAGTCCAAGGAGTTCCAGCAGGAGAGTAGTGTTTTCCATGGGAAAATGAAAGAAGAGCTTGTGACCCAAGGAGGAGGAGACGGCGGCAGCTTGAGGCAACATGGTTGGATGCAGTGATCTGTTCAGATACAACAGGTCTGCTGTGGCACTGCCTCCTCCCATCTGGTCCCTGGGGCCATCACTCTTCTACAGTGCAGCTTTGGCTGTGCGGGAGAGCAGAATCCTGGCTTCTGGAGCCACCCCTTCTCCTCCTCCTTGGTGGGTCTAGAAATTGCCTTAAAGCATGGAATTGAAAGTGTAATTTAAATCACTCAGTTCTGAGCTGTGGAATTCCTTTCCCAGTGGTTGGTGTTCTCGGGATCTCGGTTCCTTTCCTCACAAAATAATCTCTTAAAAAGTTCATTCCACCATAGAATATAACCTAGTACATATACAGCTTCACTGTATGACAGGCGTTTTTCCTCTCCTATTTTTTTGGATGATTAGAGCGCGCTCTGTGCGTGTATGTGAAGGGGTGTGTGTGCGTGCATGCGCATGTATGTGTATGCATGCTATGATTTCGTGCAAGAATCAGTAAAATTATTTCCCAAATAATTTTGGGAATCTCAAAATCTCAGGCTCTTCAACAACATTCAACTTGCAGCTGCATTTTGGCTGCACAAATCCAGACAACCACTAGATGGCAGCCAAGACATAGACAATTTTAACTCTTTACTGCCACTCAGTGTTCAATAGGTAAATCAGTCAGTATTTATTCTGGAGTAATGATGTGGACACACCCACAGCCCAAAAGCACTTACACAGTCTGGTCTGCATGACAACTGGCTCTTTTGCTGCCAACTAGTGATTTGTAGTTTAATAGGTCAAAAATGGAAATAGAGGGGAAATTGGATCAGATGGAGATCCTGGACCTAACAAGCTCCATTCCAGCCCACATTCCATAGGGTGATTGGTGGTGGCTTTTCCACAGTTCAGGACTTTTGAATTCCAGCCAGGAAAAGCCACCAATTGCTGCCATTACAGTGTTGCTTGGAGGAGCAGTACAAATAGCAGCACAACATGGCTCTGTTCAAGATGCCCCTAACGGCAGCCTGTGGGGGCAGCCTGGCAAAGCAGCTGGGCCTTTGAGGGCTCCATATGCACACAGGACAGTATCCCTTCTATTCGGAAGGCAACCAGGAAAGTTAGAAATGAAGCCCAGAGCTAATCTCACAGTGGCAAAATCGTACCTGCTAAATGTAAAGAGTGAAACAAAAACCATTATACAGTAAAGGGCATAAGGCAGATGTACAAAAATCTCTTCATGTGCCAGACAAGTGGAATAATTAGGGGACTCAAAGGAGGAGTAAGAAAAGGCACTGTGGGATATTGTTGCTGATGCTGAAGTTTGTTGGCGTTAAGAGAGAGCAATACAGAATCTTTGAATATTTCTACTTTTGTTCCTGGCCTGCCTGTCATATTGGATTCTTTCCATTAAGAGAAAGAAATAGACAAATAAAGCTACAATGAACCAGAACATGTTTATCTGGGAGAAGCTTTCTGATGGCCGAACCCTCAGATGAATCTCATTTTCCCTGTTTCAGATCACTGCCGCCTCCCAAAACCTATAGCAGCGTAAAGGATGAGAGCTGGAAGGACGGCTGCTACTGAACAGCAAAGCTACGTAATTCAGCAGGTACTCCTTCGCCAGGCTAAACCACAGAACAATATGCAGACTGATCAGAAAATACTTTTGGGGGGGGGTTAAAACTCCCCAGATCTCTCTGTCTTTAATTAGCACAAGCTGGCAGAGATTATAAAACAGCACTTTAATGACATTAACATCAGATACTTGGTGACCACTCAAATCATTTTTACGTGAATCACGTATCACTTCTGAATCTCTTCTTCCCTGCTTCCTAAATTTGTTATAAATGCTCACATGGCTACAATAGTCAATGTGGATACAAGGGCAAATATCTTAAAATGCCAAAGAAATATCCATTTTGAAAAAGCAGCATGCAAAATGTTAAGCAAAAATAATTCTGAAAGATCATACATTACTTGATTTTAAAGAGCAAGGCTTTTTTAACATGTAGAATAGAAACATTAACATTGATCAAAGCAAAAATTTTGGATTGTAAAATGCAACTAGGCTAGTGAGATTGTTTTAAACAATTGTGGAAGAGATGTGTGGAGAAACTGAGTCACAACAGAACAGTTGTCTCTGGAGTCTCACTCTGGGAGTGGTAGGGGAGTCATACCATTTTTTTTCTTTTTTCTTTTTTTCTTTTTTAACTAGGCCTCTGAGACTTGATAAGCATAGGTTGCATTCTTTTATGTTGACTTGTCATATCAGGTTTTGTATAATATTATGATTGCCAAAAGGGCTCATTGTCAGATATACAATCCTAAAACTAGCTGTTCCTGGCTCAGGAAAATAGCCTTTGTTTTTGCAGCCACATTTTTAAAAGCACGAGTCCTTTTTGAGCAAACTTCCTGGAAGAAGAAAGGGGGAGTATTGATTAAGACATATCACCACATGCTTAATGCCTGGAGCACAACTGAACATGCCTGTAGTTAACATGAAGAAAAGACAGCTATGCAGCCCTAGCCCAGAGATTCTAAGGAAATCAGTTGTTCTGCTGATACCAAATGATATATTCATATGAGTAATGTTTCATGGTATGAGGGAGTCTTCTTTATCCTTTTTTTAAAAGATCAGCTTCCTAAAGGTGTGTTTAATTGTAAATACTTCTGCTGAGGTTATTGCCCTTATTAATATTTTAACTATGTACTTTGCCTTATGCCTGTATTTTGCATTGTTGGTAACAGTTTGAAAAAAGAAAAGAAAACTCTGCCATGTATGTTTACAGAGTGGTTTGTTCCTCTAACTGTTGTCAGCTTTTCACTATTTTGCCAATCCTTGTTGTCAGGGTACCCCTCACACCCTAGGAATCTAGTACTATTAATACCCAAAGCCCCATCTCTTGCAACCCCCCTTCTAGTTGTTTTATGGTGTAGTGGAAGACAGAAAATAAGTTATGTATCAAAAAGAAGTTGAGAGTAGGTCAGTTGCAAGAATTTTTGTTTTTTTAGGAAAGAGAAAGCAGTCTCTTAGAATGACATTTCCTTGTGCTGTCTAAAGTACTGAGCAAAAAAATGTTCTTAGCTAGGATACCGTTTTGGTAATGACTGAAAAATCCAACATGCTCTGTGGCTTGCAAACCTTATTCATGCCTGCCTCTTAAAATGTGTGCTTTTGAATTTTTACAAGAAGAGTAACTGATTTGGGGATTCTAGTCCTTGATTTTTTAGCTAGCCTTCATAGATTAGTGGATTAAAAGCCATGCAATATTTACTTGAATTGGAAAAGTGACCAAGGCAGGATAAGACTAGATATCAGTTCCAGCACTCAGGCAATTTTTTTTTTTAATTTAAAGGAATGGCCCTTTTATGATCTTGCATAAGTGATGGGATTCCTCACTTCTGGAATCTTTAGATGCTGGGTTCTGAAGGCACAATGTAGATCAGTTGTTTCTCAACC